ATGCCGAACAGGCCGCTGGCGCTAGTAGAGAAAGAGCCTAGTGCTGAGAGTCGGTTACTGTTGAGGATGTTTGCCCGCTGGAAAATTGGCGGGTTGTCCACAACCCTTGCAGCTGGGGGATGCTCCCCGCAAAGTTCTTAAAGTCCGCAAAGAGTCTTTTATTCTCGATAAAGTCCTGAAGATGGCAGGGCCAGTAGAGACCCTCGGTGAGGGCCGTGTCCCTGAGAGGTTTCCTGTGGACTGCTAGGTCGCTGCAGACGAAGATAAGATGGAAGGGATCATCATCCTCCCCCATCCCACAACCACAGAGCCCGTCGCTCTTACCCAGGAACCTCCGCAGGTAAGAGCCAAAGTTCCCATGGGCCGACAGCAGCTGGGTGAGGGAGTGATCCGTGGAAAAATGCTGGTTCTTTATCCTGTTCTCGATGTTGGGGATGAAGTTATGGGTCACTCTCCCAGTTTTGCTGGTGTCCCATTCCTTCTGCCAAAGCCTGATGAGTGCCTTGTGGATGGCCGACCAGACGTGAGAGACGGGAATTGCAGCATAACTGTGGCTGTTGGCAATCCGGTTAGCCTTCCTGGCGACCAGGTCGGCCCGGTCATTCCCTGGCACCCCTGAGTGCCCCCGAACCCAGAAGAAATTCAGGGCCGAGCACCTGTTAATGTCACTGATTAGTTGCAGGCTTTCTTCCACAATGGGCAATTTTCTGTTTTCTTTCTTAAGTTGATGTAGGGCAGTCCGACTGTCACTAATAATGTTGATGGCCACCTTCTTGAACTTGTCCGTATTATCCTTGATAAACCGAAGGGCGCGGAGGATCGCATATGACTCCGCCTGCGCAATGGAGCAATGAGGCTTTAAGCTATAAGCTGCCTGCCAGTGCAGCACCCTTTGGGGGTCCGCCAGGACCACCGAAGCCCCCACTTCAGTGTTGGTCTTTGAGCCGTCGGTATAAAAGTTAATCCCGTGTTTCGGGGTGACGGGTTCGATATAAAAGTTGCTCTTAATGGAGCAGGCAGGGTGCGGGTCCTTAGGACTATTGTTCCGGTCAATCCCGTTCGTGATAATCTCCTCCATGATGTGTTCGATAGAATCAGGTAACTTCAATTTTGTGAAGATGTTCTGCACCTGGGTGGGCATGGTCCCGCCCCTTTCCAGTAGCAGGAGAGACTTCTTGATAAACTTTCCTAGGGCCACAAGGTGGACCGGCAGGAGCCCTGCAATGGCCGGTAAGGCATCGGTGGAGGTGGTCCGATATGCCTTTGTAATAGCAATCAGGGCAGCCCTTTGGGCAGAGAGAAGTTTCTGCCTATGGTGCACTTTGAGGGTGGTGTACCCCCATTCCTCGGCCCCATACGTGAGAATGGGTTCGACCACTGCTTTATATATAAGGGTACAGTTCCTGGGGCTTAACCCCCAGGTGTTCCGAGCGATGCTGCAAAGGGAGTTATTAGCTTTGATGGCTTTATTGTACACCTGGTGAATATGATCGGTCCAGGTAAGCTTGGGGTCCAAAGTGAGCCCCAAGTACTGAAGCTTATCCTCGCACTTAATCCTGCTGCCCCCAATCCTGATGGTAGGCTTTTTCTTTAGGATGTTATCCTTCGGGAAAACCATGCACCTACTTTTTTCATGGTTAATAATCAGCTTATTGCTTGTGCTCCAGCTCTCAACCCTTTCCAGGAACTTGTTGGTGTACCCCTGAAGCACCTCCTGATTTTGGTGGGAAAGAAGCACGACGGTGTCGTCCGCATATCCTTGGATATACGGGCTCCCCTCCGTCTGAGAACTAACGTTGAGGTTGAGGAGGCTGTTATAGAGGATCGTCCAGAGGAGCGGCCCCGATTTGGAGCCTTGCGGGCAGCCCCGGTTGATGGGGGTGCAGTAAAGAGTGTGCCCCTGATTGGTGGCCCATGCATACCTATCAGAGAGGTAGCTCTGAACGAGATTGAAAAGGTTTTGTGGGCAGCTGTCCTTACCCAGCTTGTAGAGAATAGCGGGCCACCAGGCATGATTGAAGGCCCCTTTGTAGTCGATGGACACCATAAGGGTGTGCTTCCCCCTCTGTTTGGCCGTCCGAACGTAATCGAGGACCTTCCCCACTGCGTGGTGGGTCGACCTGTGTTTCCTAAACCCGAATTGGGCCTCATGGAGCCCGTTGCGGGATTCCAGATGAGAAAGAATCCTATTTCCCATTAGAGAATCAAGGACCTTGCCAATGACGGAGAGAAGGGAGATGGGACGGAAATCGGAGACTTCAGCCGGAGTATTATCTTTCTTCTTTGGAATAAGCCTGACGACCGCCTCCTTCCAGTCCCTGGGGAAGTACCCCTGGTTGAAGCAGGAGTTAAAGAGAACCAGAAAGGTCGTAGGAATTGCCTGATAGGCATGCTGGGCCATCTTCCAGTTGATGGCATCCCCTCCCGGGGCTTTCCTTTTCTTGATTTGTTGGAATTCCTTCTTGATTTCCTGGGGGGTAAAGGGGGGGTCCATAATGTTATTCTGATAGTGCTTCCCGTATTCCCTGATATGGTGTTGCTCCTCACTGTCCTCTGCTGGGTCATCCTGCGGGAACAGCTCGTCGAAAATAGCCCTATAAGTGTCCTGCGGATTGGTGGTGTACCCGTTGGGAGTACTGATGGTCTCTGGTATGCCCAGGGTCTTCCGCTTCTTGAAAACCGCATAAAACGGGATGTCCCAAGGGCTCTTATTACTGACCTCTGTACACAGCTTCTTCCACGATGTAGTCCTGGCCCTATTTATCATCGTCTTATACTCCCTAAAGAGGGTGAGATAGCTCTCCTTATGGGCTTGCCTAGAAACGGGATCCATACTCCGCAGGTATTTTTTTCTAGCTTTCCAGACCCTTTTACGTTTATCAGAGAGCTGTTGATTCCACCACGGGGCCGAGGGCCGCTTTGGCTTGACCCTGGTAGAAAGGAAGAAGGCCTGTTTGATTGTCTCTTGTAGGTGCAGAACCGCTTGGTCAATCTTCCAGGTGGAGTCCAAGTTGCGCAGGCAACTCGGGTCCCACTGACGTTTAACCAGCTCCTCAAAGCTGGCCCAGTCCGTTTGGTTAACAATTATCAGGTTCTTCCTACACTGATGGTATTCAACCGTAGTGAGGATGTAGGCGTGGTCACTCGTAGAAGTGTAGTCCATGGTGTAACAGTTGGTATTCAGACGGGCCAGAGTGTCGTTGCCGAGGCAGAGATCCACCCAGCTCTTCCCATGACTGTTGGAGAAGGTGGGCAGGCTACTGGAGTTAAGGGAAACAAGTCCCAAATCGGACATGAGGCCCATGACCTCCCGACCCCTCGGGTCCTCTGAGGGACTATACCAAATGGGCGACTTTGCGTTGAAGTCCCCACACACTAACTTGGGGCCCGGGGGGAGCCCCTGGTAAATCCCCTTGATCTCCTGAAGCAGGGGGGCAATGTCCTCTGAAGGTGGACAGTAGACGTTGATAATGTAAAGACATGTGGCGCTGAGGTCCACACTGATGGTAGTGATGTGAGGGGTGCAACCTTGGGCGATAACCTGGCAGTTGATATTCTTGTTGTAAATAATAAAGCCCGTTAGAATAGTACCCTCATGACCGCTGCCCGTGAGGGTATGCCCCCTACCAAGCAGAGCCACCTTCCCGTTGCGGGTATACGGTTCCTGGAACGCCAGAATGTCGATGTCGTGGTCCGCCGCCGTTTGGACAGTCGCCGAGGCCGCCACTTTACATTTCTGCAAGTTAATTTGCAGAATGTTCAGTCGGTCCTTGTAAAACTTATGGTTGTCATCGAACGTGAGAGCAAGACGGGGGCCGTTTACAGAGGAAGAAACCACCTTAGACATATTGTGTCTTACTTATCTGTAGCAGTTTTTGCTGTTTCAGTCTTGGACAGCCCTTGTCAAAAGCGTTATGGTCAATGTTTATTTTTTTCTGATCCGGGGCCTCTTTGTTGTGTAGATGACAGTTTATGCACTTCGGGTCCTTGATCAGGTGATCTAGACCAATAGAGAACGTTCCACAAACCATTAAATTTGAATGAGCTGCAGACACGACATACAGCTACAGAAGAATGATGAAGAAGAAACTCCAAGAGTTATGAAAACAGCCGATCTAAAGTATATTTTTTCAACCATGGAAAGTTTGATGGATGAACTTTGTGAGTTAGGTAATGATTGGGAACAAAGTGCAAATGTAAAAAGGAGCATCATTGCATCCATTCGACCATATTCCGAAATTCTTAATGAAAGAAAACAAGAATGTAAACAATTAAAGATGGATACTTTTTAATAAAAACATCTCACTTTATTTTATGATAAAATACATTTTAAAAATTAAATTTGTATGTATTTTGTATTATACTGTATTAATAAACAAAGTTATTTGCTTATTTTTCACTTATGTAGGACCTAACTCTATACCTCACTGTAAATATGGGTTCATTTTATGCTGATTTGATTTGCTTCAGCTTTTGTAGGAACGGAACTGCGGCATAAACCGAGAGCTACCTGTACTCATTAATGCTGATTGAATATTCATATTTGATATTTGGCCAAATCATTTTTGAATCAAATTCTTTTAATGTTAATGATACAAAAAAAAAAGAATATGTGAAACTTTATCCTTTCCAGGAAATATTACCATCATGCAGTCATCATAAAATATTTAACTAAATCATATTTTTATACTTATTATTTATAATATAAATTTGTATTTTTATATACAGTAAATAGAACATTTTCTTAAAATATTCAATAATATGGCTTCTATAAGAATAGTTTTTCTCCTAAATCCTCCAAATTGATAGATTACTAAATTAAATATTTTACAATTTGTTTTAAAATTGTAAAACATTTTATGTATGTAAAAAATTCATTTTAGCAGATTTATAACAAGTTTTAAAAATAATGAAATTATAATTAAATAGAGATTTAATCTAATTATTTTTCAAAATTTATGAATATTCCAAAATTTTAATGATTGTATATGTTTATTTAGGACTGAATTGGAATATAAGAAATATAAGTGGTGCTACAATACAATGGTTATGGATAACTCATAAAATGAAAGTAAAATTACACTCTTTAACAGTTGGTGTAACATTTCAGTAACACTTGAATTTTGGCCAACTGATAATGTGTCTCAAAAACCTGCAGTCACTTAATCTCTGCAACATTCTGTTCATCAAAGTATTTGTTAATATAATTGGCTCTGCTGTTAAGCAACAACATGAAGTTTAGTACAGCTGTGGGCTGCTGTCCTTGCTCATGGCCTTATCTTTTTACACTGTCCTACATATCAGCAAAGAAGAAAAGCAAAATGGAAGAACGAGAGAAACCTGTCTCTTTGTTAGTTAATAATTCAGAACAAGTTTTACTTTCCTCCTCTCAAGCAGAATCTACAGCAAATAATCAGGCACCTGAAAATGCTGAAACTCTCAAATCTCCTAACATGAGCACTGACAGTGGATTTGAAGGTGAAAATAATAGGCCATTGCTACTTCAAACAAACCTGCCATCACCTGCAGATGATGCTATTATTAGTTCTTGGAGACATGATGTTTTTCAATCTGGTGAGTTAGAATTTGATGTTACGGAACTTGGAAGCCCAAAATCACCAAAAAAGTCTACAGAGGATTCAGATTTTAATGAATCTCCATTTGATAAGAAATCTGTACCTAGTGTAGGTGATGTACAATCAGAGAGTGATAATGATGATTCAGAACATCACTGTTTATTTCATAATGCAACTCCTATATGGTGTAATGGTGAAATATCTGGTTGGAAAGAGAATTACGTTAGTGATTGCCAAAGCACATCTGTTAATGGAATACATCTTATTAAGGAATTACCTGATGATGATGATGATGATGACGACGACGATGTTTTCTAGCTTTCCAGACCCTTTTACGTTTATCAGAGAGCTGTTGATTCCACCACGGGGCCGAGGGCCGCTTTGGCTTGACCCTGGTAGAAAGGAAGAAGGCCTGTTTGATTGTCTCTTGTAGGTGCAGAACCGCTTGGTCAATCTTCCAGGTGGAGTCCAAGTTGTGCAGGCAACTCGGGTCCCACTGACGTTTAACCAGCTCCTCAAAGCTGGCCCAGTCCGTTTGGTTAACAATTATCAGGTTCTTCCTACACTGATGGTATTCAACCGTAGTGAGGATGTAGGCGTGGTCACTCGTAGAAGTGTAGTCCATGGTGTAACAGTTGGTATTCAGACGGGCCAGAGTGTCGTTGCCGAGGCAGAGATCCACCCAGCTCTTCCCATGACTGTTGGAGAAGGTGGGCAGGCTACTGGAGTTAAGGGAAACAAGTCCCAAATCGGACATGAGGCCCATGACCTCCCGACCCCTCGGGTCCTCAGAGGGACTATACCAAATGGGCGACTTTGCGTTGAAGTCCCCACACACTAACTTGGGGCCCAGGGGGAGCCCCTGGTAAATCCCCTTGATCTCCTGAAGCAGG